GGCTAGGGGACTTGAGTACTTGCATGAGAAGGCAAACCCTCATGTTGTCCACCGAGACATCAAATCCAGCAATGTGCTTTTGTTTGATGATGATGTTGCCAAGATTTATGATTTCGATCTCTCCAACCAAGACCCTGACATGGCTGCACGCCTTCACTCAACTCATGTGCTGGAAACCTTTGGTTATCATGCTCCAGAGTAAGCCCTAATCCATGTGATTAAGTTCAACTCGTGCGCAAAGACTTTTGTTATCATTTTCTAAAGTTTTGAGACAATAAGTTCTTCCTTGGATTAATCTTTTGACATTATTTTGCAAAGAGTTAAAACAAACTCTGGTGGTTAGAGTCTTGACAGGAGTGATTGATTCCCCAAACCAAAAAAAAGAATAATGTCAAAAATGTACTGTGCATTCACGAGGACAGTTGTTGCCATGTTGTTGGCTGATTGCAGAAATACGCGAAGGAAGATGATCTCTTCTTCTGCATTTCTTGAGAATCTTTTTGAATTTCTTAAACCCAACACCAGGTAGATTCTTCTTCTCCTTCTGTTCTTGCATGTACTCCTCATACTTCTTACAAAACTTCATTTTTCACAATCTCTCAATAGGATATACGTGAAACGTATAATCAACAAAACACACACTAGAAAATGTTAAATTTAGATGACCATCAACAAACTTAGCCCTGAACAAACAGAATCTGATCAAAAAAACTATAACGCTGAACAGTTTTTTTCTTTTATTTCTCTTGCGTCTCGTGTTGGTTTTATTATGAGAAAAGAAACAGAGGCCTATTTATGAACAGAGGAAAATAAAAAGCTGGTGAGGAAGGCTGAAAACAATTTTGTTATTAAAAAATGTAAAAAGGAAAGCAAAAGTCAAATGTTTTTTTGGGAAACATTATCTCTGTTTAAAGGTGTTATTTGTGTTTATTGTATTCAGCAAAGAGATTTACTACTGGTTGATTTCAGTTTCATTTACTTCCTTTAATTTCTTAAACATTAACGCATTTGACTATANTGGTGAGGAAGGCTGAAAACAATTTTGTTATTAAAAAATGTAAAAAGGAAAGCAAAAGTCAAATGTTTTTTTGGGAAACATTATCTCTGTTTAAAGGTGTTATTTGTGTTTATTGTATTCAGCAAAGAGATTTACTACTGGTTGATTTCAGTTTCATTTACTTCCTTTAATTTCTTAAACATTAACGCATTTGACTATAAGTGCTTCCTTGGATTAATCTTTGACATTATTTTGTCATACCTTAACGCTGTTAAAATTCTTACGTCTCTTCTAATTGACCAAACTAGAGTCTTAAACACAGATGGTTCTGCATTTCAGGTATGCAATGACAGGAACGTTGAGCACAAAGAGTCATGTCTATAGTTTTGGCATTCATCTTGAAACACTGTATTATCATGGTTGGTTTGAAAATATTTATTTATTTGAATATTATTTGTGTAATTGTGAATTGTAAATTTATTTTAATTTTATAAGATCACATTTTGGTTAATAGATCTTATAATTTATTAATTATCTGTAACAAACATTTCTACAATACAGATTAAGGTTGTAAATCTGTCATGGCGTTGTTATATGAAAATATTACACTAAGAAACAGTTTTGAGTTTATTATATCACTCTAAGTCAGTTTCAACTACCAACACACTTTTTCTCTTATCTCAACACTCTCTTTCTTCTTCCTAACGTTTGAAAAACCATTTCTACCCTTTTCTATTATTTTTAATTGAAACCTAACAAAAGTACTAGAATAAAATTATGTGGCTATAAATCAGATTCTTTTTCTCTTTCTCTTTCTTTATCTATTTAATTTTTTTCTTATCTTTCTCATACAATTTTTTATCCGTAAAACAAATTATGCTAAAACAACTGAAGATTAAAATGAAGATAAAAAACATATGACGATGGAATTCCAGTTTTACAATTTGTAATCAGCCTCATGTAGAACTAGTAGAAGAAGAAGATAAGGACAGAGACGATGACAAAGTTAATAATAAAGACAGTGATGGCAGTGAGAACAAAAACGACGACGAGTTTTGCATTCAGATTAGAAGCCAAATAACTTCTTGTTCGCTAACAAGAAAGAGAACTTGGTGTTAAAAGCCATCACGTTCAACTTCCCTATGTTCTTCAGACCATTTAAAGATTACATCTTTGCAATAGTAATGTTCATCATCTGAATATTCTACTTATGTGAAGCTTTTTTCCTTTATTGTAAGAGATAAGTTCACGTATATTGTTAGGAGTCCATATTAGATTAGTTTGAAATGTTAAACCCACATATTGTTTCATGTGTGTACATGTAAATATGTGTACATATGGACGTTGTGAAATTGTGTACACATGACAAAAAGTAATAATGAGAATCACCTCTATACTTCTTCTGAAAGTGGCAAGACTGTAATTAGTTATGAATCAAAGACGTGTACACGTGAAAGAAGAGTAGACAACCAAGTCATTGGAGGAGTCACTAGAAGATGTATTAGGATAGAAGAAAGGAAATGTTGATGATTATGTGTTTACCGAGTTACATGTGGATAGTTCCTTATAGTGTACATGTGGATAAGCTTAATGGTGTACATGAAGGAAGTGTACACATGGATACTATTTTTTCCAATATGTTAAAATATATGTATATGTGTGTACTAGATTTGTAACTATTTAGGAGAATCATATGTATCACCTCTATACTTCTTTTGAAAATGGTAAGATTGCAATTAGTTATGAATCAAAGAATTGTACACATGAAAGAAGAGTATAGAACCAAGTCATTGGAGAAGTCACTAGAAGAAGATGTATTAAGATAGAAGAAAGGCAATGTTCATGATTATGTGTTTAGCGAGTTACATGTGGGTAGTTCTTTATAGTATACATGTGAATAATCTTAATGGTGAAAGAAGAGTATACACAGCCAAGTTATTGGAGAAGTCACTAGAAGATGTATTAGGATAGAAGAAAGGAAATGTTAATGATTATGTGTTTAGTGAGGTACATGTGGATAGTTCCTTATAGTGTACATGTGGATAAGCTTAATGGTGTACATGAAAGAAGTGTACATATGGATACTATTTTTTTCCACTATGTTAAAATATATGCATATGTGTGTACTAGATTTGTAGCTATTTAGGAGAATCATATATATCACCTCTATACTTCTTTTGAAAATGGTAAGACTGCAATTAGTTATGAATCAAAGAACTGTACACGTGAAAAAAGAGTATAGAACCAAATCATTGGAGAAGTCACTAGAAGAATATGTATTAGGATAGAAGAAAGTCAATGTTCATGATTATGTGTTTAGCGAGTTACATGTGAGTAGTTCTTTATAGTATACATGTGGATAATCTTTATGGTGAACATGAAATAAGTGTACACATGGATACTATTTTTTTCCACTATGTTAAAACATGCATATGTGTGCACTAGATTTGTAATTATTTAGGAGAATCATATGTATCTAACATTATCTAACTATCTTATTAGTCTTACATTTGGAATTTTTTTATAAAAAAGGTATACATGTAGTCTCATCAAAACGATGTACATGAAAAAAGTGAACACATGAGTACCATTTTTTGTTTAGGTAGACATCCATATGTACAAGATATTCTTATGTACATGTGTGTAGTTTTAAAATGATGTACATGTAAAATGTAAACTATGCCCACCTAAAACAGTATATATGTGTACACTATATAAAATGTACATAAGGGATTTTCCTTTCCATGTCTATGTGTACAACGACATTACAGTCGTACAATATACTTGTGTACACTAGAAAAGCATCATGTACACAAACAAAACACAAATGTAAGTGGCTTTTTTTTGTGAATTTGTGTACATTTGGTGAAACATATGTACATCTGGATGTTGTTTTATGTACACATGTTAAACATTCAAATTCAAATGTGTGTTATATATTTGTAAACAAAGATGAAACTACCAAGCTTGGTAGAAAAGATGAGAATTGTACACAGAACGGACAATTATAACTTTTTTTCATTAGGAGTTAAACTAAAGTTGCATCCTCTTAAAAGCAAATCAAGCAGCCAAAAATACTAATATTGTAGTGTGGCTGCTCTCTAGCGATCATGAACACATTCGATGTTGTAACGGCCAACCAGATTCTTAGCACCACCATATGAATGAGTTTATCAATTATCTCATACTTATCTTATAAGATTACGTTATGCCAGCTCCTTTGCATCTGAGACTTTTTTCTGAAACATAAAGATAAAAATACATTAATTCCTAAAACTCACCATGTCTATGTGTACACTATGTACAATGTACATAAGGAAGGATTTTTTTCCTCTCTATGTCCACGTGTACAACAACATTACAGCCACACAATATACTTATGTACACTAGACAAACATCATGTACACAAACAAAACACAAATGCCTTTTACTTCTGTCACTGGAAACAATGTTTTATGTTTTTTATTTTCTCTGTTATCATATCTTCAACTAACGTTGAGTCCAACGATTAGAGAGAGAGAGAGTAAAAAATAATATATGTAGCTGAAACTAAATTTATTAAATAATATTTTTGTGTGGCTGTGATTAAATGTAATAAAATATGATATATATAGTCTGAATTTCAATCCACGTGATAAGAAAAGAGAAAGGGTTTAGGTAGTAAAAAATGAATTTAGCTGAGGATTTTTTAGTCTTTACAATCTCAGAAACTACCTCAGTAGCTTAAATGTACCTAGAGTGTTATTAAAAGTCAAAAACTGACCCTGAGTGTAAAACACTCTTGTTATATCTAATAGTTTCGGGTATAAACATCAAATCAAGATTCTAGAACCTATTATCTAATATCATTAAATACATACTTAGTTGTTAGTAAAATGATATCAATTGATTATAAAACCAAAAAGAAAATTTGAATTAAATGTAATTAACAATATATTTTCACAAGAAACCAAAAATAAATCATAAAAATAATTTGATCATAACTAAAATTTAATTAAGTTTTCATCCATTTCAAAATTTTGGTCACTATTCCATATGTATATTTCAGATAAAATTTTGATTTGTCGAAACCCGGGCCAAGATTCCCACCCTAAAAAAGTAAAAAAAACATAGTATACAAAGAGATTTTCAACTGGATCCCTTCCGATGAAAATAAGTAAAAGTTTATACTTAGACCGAAAACTAAAAAAATATTAAAGGGTTAC